CTAGAATAAAAACAGTTTTTCACTTTTTAAACAACATTTTAAGGTCAAAATTATTAGCCTCTTTAAGCTATATTTTATTTCAATAGTCTACAGAACAAACCATCATTATACAATAACTTGCCTAATTACCCTAACCTGACTAGTTAGCCTAGTTAAGCCTTTAAATGTAACTTTAAGCCGTATAGAAGTGTCTTAAAAAATATCTAGTCAAATATTACTTTGTCATCATGGCTAAGATAAAATAAATCAATTATTAGAGATGAGTTATTAAAACTATTATGTTTAGAAATATGTTGAAGAAAAAAAAAAAGATCTCCCTTAAACAGATATTGAAGAAAAAAAAAAATAAACAGGGGGCTAATAATTTTGACTTCAACTGTGTGTGTGTGTGTGTGTGTGTGTGTGTGTATATATATATATATATATATATATATATATATATATATATATATATATATATATATATATATATATATATATATATATGTTTTTTTTTTTTTTTTTTTTTAAGAATATAAATTTTTGTTTATCTTTTTGGGCATAAACAAAACTATAAACACAACATAGAGATTGCAAAATCGGGTAGCCCGATGTCCCGGGGCTATTGTTTTTTTTACAGCCGGTCTACCAAAATCTATCTACACCATGCCTGGCAGGCTATCCTTGAGCAGAACTAAGCACAGTATAAATATATTTTGGTAGCCCGGCTAAAAAAACAATAATCCCTGGACACACTATATGGCAAGAGCAGTAAGAAGTTTGGTGAATGTCCATAAGGACATTATATCATTCCAAATCTCAAAATGTCACATTCAGCAAGGTTTAGATTGTCCAAATATGGTGGCCATAATTGGATAATTGAATGCCATCCATTCCTGGAAAGGGATTTATCACTGATCAATGACATCAAATTGTTGTTCAGAAATAAATATTTTATTAAGCATATACATTTTTTGTAGTAATATTGTTTGTAACAATACTGGATAATAAGAGCATTTTTGATTAAATAAATTCAGTTTTGGTAAGCATAAAACCACAAAGCAATCGTCTAGACACCACTCTTTTGAACTACAGCACATAAATACAATAGATTGTTACCTAAATCAGTTTTCAAGCTGACTTCCGATGGTGGTTCGGAGTCATTGGTGACATTGATGAGAGTGTAACACACATTCTCTGCGGCTGTCATGATGTCAGCTCTTCTTCCCTTTGGGAGACTCCACTCAGAGAGAATACCTACGAGCTTTCCTAAAACACAAATACAATAAATCATTTCAGCTTAAAATGAATCCTCAATACACACATAACAAACACTTCAATGTGATGCAACCAATAATGTCCTGTAATGTATCAAGGCTACATATATTGTGCTTCTTATGTTTAATAAACATATATACAGTACTGCTTTGCCATCTGCGTGTCACATATGGTCACGTGATGTCAACTTGGTCATTTGAGGGGCAACGCTGTAACTAAAGCAACTGTAGTTGTTTTACGTATTGTAAAGTGTGAATTGTGTTTAATGTAAAGTTTTACGTAAAGTGTGCTTTAGTGCGGTTACGGTCAGGCCTTTAACTTTTCTTTATTTTTATACACGCATGCATCTTTATAAAATTGCGATATCAACGTCTACTATGTCCTAGTACCTACTAAGGACAGCACTGTACTGATACTACAAAGTTAAAATTACATTTAACTAATGCTGTTCATGATTTTAGTGTCAACGCGAACATTTTAATCTAGGTTTTGTCAAAAGTCTCACAGTCTGCGGCCGAACTGGGATTCAATGAATTAGCATCTAGTTTGATATGCTGAAACTAGCCATGGCAGAAAACAAGTTAAGGACACATTTATGTATAAATTATAACCCCGAAGGTTTTTAACATCAGCATCACTGCTATTTAATAATACGTCTTTGTAAAATGTCCACGTTGTACGGTTCTTTTACTGATTGCGTGAACAGTCGACATCACTTCTGCAGTAACGTTAGCGGCTAGCAAGCTAACAGGCTGCGATTAAAAATGAACACAGACAAGTGAAGATTCAGGGCTCGAGTTAGCAAAAACTAACAACAAAATGTATTTTTTCTATGTGCCTTTTAATTAAACTTATCGTGAATTACCTTTCAAATAGGTGTCAGATCTCTCTCTTCTCCAGTATCTGCATCCGTGTCTGGCGAGATCCTGATCCTTCCGAATGACGTGGAACCTGACTGACTTGGCCACATCAATACTACAGCGAGCCAGGAGGATCAAACCACTCTGCGCGTTTACGCAAACGCGAATGGTGGAAATTATGTTCACGATTTGACCGTGTTCGTGGTTACTGTGCATTGTACTTTTTCAAACTGGAGTGTTATGTTTAATAGTCAGTTTAAAAATTTAATGATAAAAACTATTAATATTAGTAAAAGTGTTATTTATAATGAGTTACATTTATCTTGTTGAAATTCAAATGAGTAAAAAATATTACTGACACAACAATCATAAAAAGACTTAAGCAATTAAAGTTATTTTCAGTCATTCATTCATTTTGCTTTGGCTTAGTCTCTTTATTTACCAGGGGTCACCACAGCGGAATGAACATCCAACTTATCCAGCATATGTTTTATGCAGTGGATGCTCTTCCAGCCGCAACCCAGTACTGGGAAACACCCATACACTCTTGCATTTACACACACACTCATACACTACGACCAATTTAGTTAATCCAATTCACCATGTGCATGTCTTTGGACTGTGGAGCAAACAGGAACCCCCCTAGCAAGTCAACGCAAACACTGGGAGAACATACAAACTTGACGCAGAAATGCCAACTGGCCCAACCAGGACATGCACCACCAATCTTCTTGCTGTGAGGCGACAGTGCTAACCACTGAGCCACCGTGTTGCCCCTTAAGTAATTTTCATTAGTTGTATTAAAGTATAAAATCATTTAAATTCATTATGTCGCCAAAGACAATGTTTATCATTTTACTTAATCTTGACATGTTTAAATAAAAATAAGTAAGAATTGTATAAACAAACTTATTAATAAATAGATCAAATTTAGACCTACTTAAAGATATAAACAAAAATGAAACTAAATGCTGTTTCAGTGGTGCTAAAATAACACTGATCTGGATAATTTATAGACAAAATGCAAATAAAGGTTCTCATTTGTTTTTGCTGATCTTGTTAATACCAAATCTGGCCTGTTATGATCATAATAAGGAGATTTTCTGGAGCTCTAAAATTCTTGCCCTTTATTTTACTAATTCGGTAAGATGTATTTTTAAAGATTACTTATTTTTGGTTTACTTTACACTTTACAGAAATACAACAACACAACACTTTACAACAATATAAAATAACAATGTCACACAATATATATATATATATATATATATATATATATATATATATATATATATACTTTTTTATTTAATTGCACTCTAAAAATCTGCTATCTTGCTTTATTATTTTATTGTTAACAGAAATAAAAATAAAAGATAATGTCATGGCAGGAAATTTCTTTCTTTCTTTTATTTATTTATTTATTTATTTATTTATTTATGTATTTATCTATTCATTTATTTATTTATTTATTTATTTTATTTTATTTTTTACTTATTTAAATGTAGTAAACACACCAAAAAATCCTATTGCCTTAATGTAAGCTGAATCAACTTAACCTTATGGGTCCATTGAACTTATATTATGTTAAACTGTCTTAAAACAGCTTGTGTAATTTATAAAATTAAGCTAGAACATTATTAAATTTTAATGAGTTTAACAAGTTACAATTAAATAAAAAAACAAATGCTGTCATGACTGATTGTTCATATATTTTTACAGTGTATTATTTTCATATGAACGTCATCAATTTCTACAAATGTGAAAGATACATTAGTGTGAACATGATCCTCACATGAGAATTTCTGGTGGTTTTATTGACTTATCTACTAACTCCACTGATTCACTTGTGCAGCTGGAATCATGGAAAACCCTCTTAAGAAAGCTTTGGGGATTGCAGCACACAGAAGTAAAGCAAATGAGGTCAATTTCAATGCATTATAGAACCAGCATTAGTCTTCATCTTATGAGATCATTATTGAACCATAACGCAAGAATTACAATTTCAAACCAATTTTCCAGCCAAGTGCTTGAATTGTTCTTGCTCATCAATATGGAATAAGTATTTTGTTATAGTTTTATAAACTTTTATATCTGGATCTTTTTATAAATGTGAGTCATTTTAAGACCATTATTTGTGTTCATGCATTTATAGGAAAGACTACTGTATTATTTCACAATACAGATTCTTTTGACCTAAAGCACAGCATTGAAGGGGCTTTCCCTCTTTGCATGTATTTTAGGAAAGGAAAAAGGTGTTGACTGAACAAAGACAAAAGGCATATTTTTTCTTATGATTTCTTCTTTTATTTTTAGGTCAGTCTGATTTTTCAAGCATTAATATCACAAATTGTTACTACAGCTTATTCAAATTTACTGTAAAGTAATGCCCCCCAAAAATATACTATCCCCTATTATTTCTAATAAAATGTTATTTCAATGTTATATTTTAATAATAATTTACAATTTGCTGCTTTTATTATGTTTTTATCAAATAAAAGCAGCCATAATGAAAACATTAGTTTTCAAATATATATATATATATATATATATATATATATATATATATATATATATATATATATATATAAATAAATAAATTATGTATAGGGGTCAATAGGATTTTTTAAATGTTTTAAAATAAGCTTATCCTTCTCACCAAGGCTGCATTTATTTAATCAAAAATACAGTACAATTTGTAAAATTGTGAAATGTTATTGCATTGTAAAATAACTACACAAAAGTAGTTTATAATTTCATTTAATCATTTATACAAGTGATTTTAAAGATCATTATCATTACTTCAGTCTTCATGATCCTTCAGAAATAATTCTAAAATTAATTATTATTATTATTGTTGTTGTTATTATCAGTAATGGTAATAGTAATAAAAAATAATGTCTGGAGTTATCATTTAATTTGACATACAATAAGTTACATAAAATTTTGTTTTTACATTTAATAAATGTTGCCTTGATAAACAGAATCATTTTCTTAAAAAAAAAAACTGACCCCAAACCTTTGACCGTTACTGTATACATGTACATATGTATACATGATACATATATATCAAACTTTATTAAGCCATGACAGCTTTAATTATTAGTTGAAACTTGTATATTTAAATAATATCTTTTACTATATGATTTTAAATATTTGTTGTAACGATTGAAAGGATAACAAATAAGCATGTTGATACTTTCAACATACTTTTCTTAAGGAACAGTTAATTGATATATTTTTTTAATTGTTTCTGTCATTTGTTGTGATTAAAATCTTAGGTTGATATTTGTTTAATATTTTGTTGCTTTATACATGATATAAAAATAGTTAACACTGAAGCTCAATAAAAAGTATAACTTAGGCTAATAAAGTTGAGTTAGTAGTGTTTTTTTTAAAGCAAGGTGTCTATGTTGTGTCCGGATTCCACATAAAGATGACAAATGTAGGCTAATGTCCATGTTAGTGACCTCTTGTGGTGCCTATGCATTGAAACTACAAGGGCCATCAACGGTAGAAATCGGGAAAGCCATTATTATTCATACTTTTTCCATTAAGCTACTAAAATCATGTTATTCAATCATATCCCAGAGTCGTATTAACAATAAAAACAATAAATGTGTTACACAAGACGCTGAAGTTTCAATTTCTAACACTCTCACTCCCACACACAGGGCATAGATAGACTGTATAATTTAATAAGATCTCGAGCTACATTCTATCTACCAATATAGTGTAGTATTATTTAAACACCTTGATTAATGTAGAAAAACTCGACAAATAGAGAGGTGAATAAAGAGCTCGGCGGTTTGGTTGCGCTGCAGAGCGCGCGCGCGCGTCTGTGTCTCGCGCTCTAGTCATTGTTACAAATTGTCGCACCTAGACGGCGACATAGAGCTCGGGTCTGCTAAAAAACAACAACATTTCAGCCTCTTTTCCTCCTGGCCAAAATGCCTGAGCACGTTTGAGTGACCATGGAGCGCGTTCGCCGTCATGTAGTGAAACGTTGACACACGTAGGATTTATTTCGGAGGAATGAAAGTTTAAAGAGCACCGAAGGAGGACAACATGGCTGTGCGGGAGGAAGGAGAGGTTTTGCACAGTAAAATCAGACAGCAGCAGCACGATGGTGTTGTTGGCAATGCAAACAGCGCGGAGAGCTTCAGGAACGGCTATGTGAAGAGCTGCGTCACTCCGTTAAAACAAGACCATCCGAGGGGCTTTTTATTCAACGTCTGCAGGTTTTGCAACGAGGATATCCTCAAGTCCAAACTATTCCGCGGCTCGGCTATCTACGTGGGAGCGCTGGCAGTTCTGGCGCTCTCCTGTTTCGTTTCCAGGAGCTTTCAGAGTGAACACGGCGTCTTGGAGCTGCGGACTTTCCTCTTGGATTTCTCCCAGTCCGTCAGTCCTTTATTCAGCATCGGCTGCGCGTATTTCTTCCTCACCCTCTACCTGAGGCGGACCAAGAGGGAGAGCAGCAGATGTTGGCTTTTGTCTTTGCCAGCATCATGCTACTTGGGGGATTTGATGGTCGTGCGCTTGTTGCAGTGGGGAGAGGAGCACCATCAGATGCAGATGATGGGCAGGTTGCTGTTTGTGCTGGGCTGCGTGGGTCTGCTCACTCTCGTCCCCACTCTCAAACTCAAACACAGCGTCCTGATCCTGGTCTTCGCCAGCCTGGTGTGGCTGCTGTCCTTCACCAGCCTCGGCTGCCTGTCTCCGTCCCTCAGGCCGGTGCTGTCGTGCGTGGCCGGGGTCTCCGGCTCGCTCCTGGCGCTCTGTTTTGATCATTACTACCCGCCGAGAGAGTCGGCTGGGAGGGTTCCTAACGCGGAGGAGAAAGTTCCCGTAATCAGACCAAGGAGAAGGTCCAGCTGTGTTTCTTTGGGAGAAACCTCCACCAGTTATTATGGCAGTTGTAAGATGCCCCGCAGACCTTCCCTGCCCTGTATATCAAGAGAACAGGTAGGGGCTTTTTATTCAAGTTGTTTTTTTCCTTCATACTCGTTTTATTACACTGTGACACACATCACACTTCTTTATCTCGTCATCATACTCCTGAGACATGACCACCTAAACCACACACACTTCATTTCATGTGTTGGCATTAGAGCTGGCCAGGTCTTCTTGTTGGCTCAGTCACCTGTTGCCTAGTTCCTAAAAGTGTTTAGGTTTGATTGATTGAGCTCAATTCACTTTTCAGGACTTATTAAAATAGCCTTTTGGCCCAGTTAGTTATGTGAAGTTTTGTGTTGGATTGTCATGTTGCTCCAGTAGTCCCAGTACAGACTTATATTTATATTAAATGCACATGTGTCCTATTAAAATAAGATTTTTAACAAGTTTTTTCTTGAAATAAGTAGATTCTGATAACATAATGGTTGTTTCGAATGGTGTCATACTGAAATAAAACAAAACCTACTCTATTAATCATTGATTCAAACACTCCAAAAGTAGGACATCGCTGATGTCTGTACCATTAATAGAGTAAATAAACTTTCAAATTGGTTGACTCCTCTTTAGCTTCCTAGTGTGAAAAGTTTTAACAAAGGTATTCGGTTTACATTACACTTGTGTGACATAATGGAAAACCAGCAGGCTGTTTATTTAACTTTTTTAGACACATGCAATTTGTTATCTGTACGTTCTATAAATATGGAAACTTTGTTAGTCCACTGAGTAGGAGATGGTGCTCGTTTGCAGCTGGTTGATTTTTAAAACATCAAACCCACATTGGCCAAAAAGTAAGTCCTGGCCGAGGTTAAAGGGGTCATGTTTAAACACTAAATTCAAGGTCATCAAACTTGTGCGGTTAAGTAAATAAACTGGAACATAGTTCCGAGTTTTTATGTAGTCATCCTGACTTGTTTCTTCACATGCATACGAGCAGTATTTCATTTGGGTTATAAAAACATAATTTGCAATGAGTTTGGCATGTTTTCACACCAATTATGAAGAGCTGAGTCCTTTGCTTGCTCGTAAGGCCATTCACTTTGTGCTTCAAGTGATTTTGAGTGTGCTTTGAATGAGTGCACTGTTCCAGTAACGCTCATGAATTGAGGTTTCAGTATGACCAGCTTCAGACTTTATTTTGATCTGCAAGCACCTGTTCTTACTGAGCAGTAGCACCAGTTCTCTCTCACGTGGGATTTGTACGGACACCTGCAAGTGAAGAAAGAAAGTGAATGGCTTTTGCTAGCTTTGCATAATATTCCCATTCGTTTTCTCGTAGTTTAAACTGGCAATATTTAAGCCATGCTTGTTGTAGCTTATTCATGTTCACGCTCAATATGTCATCACTGCGTAAATAAGTTAATTTTTTTTCTTTTTTGTTTGTTTGTTTGACTATTACTCGCCAAAGGGTAATTCACATGTCACAGCTTAGCCTTTCCATACTAAAAATAGATAAAATAAGTTGCATATATATATATATATATATATATATATATATATATATATATATATATATATATATATATATATATATATATATATATAATAGCTATTAAAATTCATGTGGTATGACTGGTTGTTTATGATTTTATTTTTGAAATAGACTGACAAGAACTTTCACAATGCACAGAACAGTAGTGTCATTAGTGCACTCTTAAAGGAATAGTTCAACCGAAAACGAAAACTTACTCACCCTAAAGGGATTACAAACTTTTTTTCTGGTGAACACAAAAGAAGATATTTGGAAAAATGTTATAATTACAATTGTTTCAATTGACTTCTGCGGTATGAAAAACAATATGTTAGTCAATGGTTACAGGTTTCTTACATTTTTCAAAATAACTTTTGTTTTGAACAGGAAACGGAAACTCAAACAGATTTGTGAAAAGTAAAGAGTGAGTAATAAATGAGGTTTGGGTGGACTATCCTTTTAAACATATAGGTTCAGTAGTTCATTGAAGGTTCTTTATATAGTGGAAAATGTTTGTTTTAGATTGTTATTTTTTTCCCACATTATAAAAAAGGTTCTTTTGAAGAACTTTTCACTAAAAGTTGTTTTGGGGAACCAAAATTGAATCTATGGTATGTGAAAATTGTTTGTGGTGTTTTTGTGAAAGTCCCTTTTTTGGTTGGTAGGGAGTGTAGGTCAGTTATTGCATTTAAAATTTTAAGAAAAATACGTTTATTCCCAAATAGAGCTATAATGTGTACTGTTGCACATTGAACACAAGATCAGTGTGTGTGCTCTGATTTTATTTTAATTCTGATTAAAGACGAGCTATTACAGTGCTCAGCATATATGAGTACACCTCTCACAAATCTCTCTTTTAAATCCATATTTTTAATAGGAAGCTATACAATATTATATTTGTGCGTATACATTAGATTAGTCAGTACTGAAGCCACATCTTGAGCTTATCTAACAAAATAACTTGCGATAACGATCCAAAAACTAGTACACCCAAATTTATGTTATAGAAAAATATTAAAAACAAATAAAAAAAGAAAAATCAAGAAAAGCAAATTTTTTTTTACATTTTTGTTGAAATTTTGTAGGTTATATATTTATGAAATATTTTGCTTGAGTTTAATTGTATTGTCTTTCAATTTCTAAATATGTTTGGTGACAAAAATATTATTTTAATAAATATATCTGTTTAATCAATGTTTTCTTTAAATGCACCAAAAATACATTTTCTATATTCACTGAGGTATAGATAAAAATATTCATTTTCAAATGGGGTGTACTCAATTATGCTGAGCACTGTACATACACATTGAATTTTCAATAGGTGTTTGCGTGCAAAGTTTCTCCTCTTTTTCTCAGACTGAGTTACAATGTGAAAGAGACACTGATCTCTCAGTCTGATTCTCTCTGACTGTTTTTGATAGTTCAGCTCTTTCCCTCTCGTGCTCGCATGCACACGATCCTGTTCAGACGGACCTTGTGAACAGCTTTTTTCTCTCCACAAAACACAGCTGGGGTTTAAATGCATATTATTACTCTTGCAATTTTATTTAATTTTATTAATATTATTAATTAGTATTATGTAAATTATAATTATAATAAACATTCAGTTTAATGTTCCATTATAGTTTTTAGTAGTAATATACTTAAACCTTTGTAAATACATTTTGTAGTTATGTTGATCTGCCTAAAGCAATACTTTTTCTTTAAAATGACCTACTGTTTTTTTTACATATAAAAAAATTGGAATCCTACTTGTGCAATCATTAAAAGTGTGAGAGTTAGGCCTGTCACAATATCTATTTATTGTCGTACGATATATTGCATCAAAATATATTGCGATAAAGATGTTATTGTCATTTTTAAGACCATTTTATGCCACTCATTATTTAATGCCAGAATGACAATACAATATCATCACAATGCAAGTACACTTCTCCAAAGAACACCTAATATTTTATTCTTAAGAATATTTTATTTAATTATAGTCATTTTATCAATTAAAAAACTAGGCATTGGAATCAGAATGTAAATACAAATATCCTGGGCTGAAATGTTGCTGGAATTAGTTTTTATGTATTGGCAATATATATTGCATCACCAAAAATTATTGAGGTCTTATCCATGTATTGTGAGTCTGGGTTATGATTGATCATTTGGCAAGTGTTTATTTGAGGCCTGTGACTGTGTGTGGGTTTTTAAAGCATTCATGCCTAAGAAATTGTACCATTTGTATTCAGTCGTTTATAAAACGAAAACTATTCTGTATTATTTTACATTTGATTGTTTAATTAATGTATGCCTGAATACAGTACAACTCCTCAGAAAACAAACAAATGCTGTTTATTTAATTTGTGTTTTTTTTCATTACTGAATTCAGCTATGCCTAAAGATTGTTTCTTATATTTTATGCAGATGCACTCCCATTATCTTCTCAATCAATCTAAAATGATCAATTCCTTCCAAATATTTATTCAACAAATCTAGTGAAATTTTATTCCTATCGCAATTTATATTATCGCAGAATACAAAATAATTGCGATTGATTAGATTGTCTTGTTAGACCTTTTTTTTGTTGTTGTTGTTGAACACAAAGAAAGTAATTTTGAAGAAAGCTGAAAAACTTTAATCATTGACTTCCATAGTATTTGTTATTCCTACTATATAAGTCAATGGTCGACGACGCAATGGTGCAATAGGTAGTGCTGTCGCCTCACAGTGAGAAGATCGCTGGTTCGAGCCTCGGCTGGGTCAGTGTGCGTTTCTGTGTGGAGTTTGCATGTTCTCCCCGTGTTCACGAGGGTTTCCTCCGGTTGCTCCGGTATTCCCCACAGTCCAAAGACATGCAGTACAAGTGAATTTTTGTAGGCTAAATTATCCATAGTGTATTAGTGTGTGTGGATGTTTCCTAGAGATGGCTTGCTGCTGGAATGGCATCCGCTGCATAAAACGTGCTAGATAAGTTGGTGGTTCATTCCGTTGTGGCGAACCCAGATTAATAAAGGGACTTTTTAAAAACAAATGAACGAATGAATAAGTCAATGGTTTCCAGCTTTTTTTCAAAATATCTTCTTTAGTGTACACAACAAAATAAACTCACAAAGGTTACAAACTACGTCAGGCTGAGTAAATAATTAGTATTTTTTTAAACAAACAAAAAAAAAGTTCTCTTTAAATGTGTGTATATGAATTTATTCACTCCTGAAAGTGCTGCTTTGTCTTTTTCTTATTCTTGTGTGTAGTAAAATTTAAATGTATTTATTTTTTGTGCGCTTCCAGTCAGTGCTGCTGTCTCTCACGTATGGCCTCATGACTTTTTCTCTTGCACACACAGAGAGAAGTGGCTCTAGTCCTCTCTTCAAGCCACCTGTGACTCATTGCATTTTCAGCCCAATGTTCGTCATAGCCTGAGCTCTGTTTAGAACCGATGGCAGGATTATGGCGCTTTTAAGATGGACCACTATTCGCAGTAGTCATGCCGTTTGAAATGTTTATGTGGCTTGGATCTTTAAATCAGTTCGTAATCATAACAAAGCCCTGTCAC